GCAGACAGGGAATGAGAGATTCATGGTCAGTATTTGGTATTGAGGGACCAACACCAGCAACCAGCAAATGTCCCCCCTGAGATCTATGCAAGGGCCTCTGCCTTTCAACGTACTCATAAATGGTCTGGCAAAGAGCGGGAGCAAAGTTTGCTAATAAGGCTAAGAAATTTGCTAATAAGACTAAGGTGTTCGGTGTAGTGGGAATGAATGCTATGAAAGAAGGGAGACTTTGAGGAAGATTGCACAAGGAACAGGTGGAAAATTAAATTAAAGGCAAATTAGAGATTTACAGGGACAAGTTCTGGCTGCACAAGGATGTACATAGCTCAGTGCAGCTATTCCCATCAAGGGAGGCTCCCTGGGGTCGCGCTGGGAAAGCAGGAGCAGGGGGACATTCCCTGCTGTCTGCCTGTGTCTCCAGGCTGTGCTCTGCAGCTGTGTCTTCTCCCTTCCTCTCAGAGGAGACTGTGATCAAGAGAGGGCACTAGGGCAAAGGAGGAGAATCAAGAGCATAGCACGGAGAAGACAACCAAGGGAGAGATGCAGGTGTGTATGAAGTTGTGTGCGGGGAGGGAGGTGTTTTGGAAATTATTATTTGTGGTGTTTTACAGTATAGAAACAAGGGCATATTGACTAAATAATGACACGGCAGATAAAAGAAACACAAACAAATGTAAGTAATTCTTCTTCACTATGTAGCATAAATTCTGAAGAGCTAATTGCCTAAGGCTGTTGTGGAGGCAAATATTGATCAAAAGCAAGGAGAGAGTTTTATGGAAGAGCAACGCAGCAAGCACTGTTCATAGTATGACTAAACCAAATATTGATGGAAACAGGTATCAAAGGAAGCAGCACTTTATGCCTACCTTGCTCCTCAGTCTGCTCCAAGTACATCTGCTGGCCACCACCAGGACTCTGCGTGGGGGTCCCTATATTTCAGACAGTTTTCTTGATGTCCCAGGAGGAGCTCACTGAGAAGCAAAGCCAAGGACAAGCAGTCAGCAAGCAGAGCTTGCTCCAAGTGCTGCTGCAAAGCAATACACTCCCTGTGTGGAAACACGAACCAGCTAAAGGATAGGAAAGACCATATCTGAGAGCCGCTATTTCAACACTCCACAGCAGTTTGACATAGTCCAACATGAGGCTAAGGGCAGAGCGGAGACTCTTTTCTGGGCGGAGGGCCAAAATAGGTCTTTAAACACACGTGAGGAAGGAAACGTCAACATGCAGTGTGGTATTGCCCAGCAGAAAACCAACAACACGAGGGCTGCAAGTCCTGTGAAAAGAAATTAAGAGCCACACTGGTGCTTGGGTCACAGATCCATGTTGCTAAACACGAGTCTGTATCAAAGACTTCAAAGACTAACAAAGGTAAGAGCCAGACTGAGGAGAGAGGAGGAAAAACACAGCTGGCAAAAGGGAGACTAGTTGCGAATGGCAGGAGAGAAAACAGAAAACGCTGTTTTTGCCAGCCTGATCATGAGTTCCTGGCCAGACACCCTGAGGGCCAAAGATAAATCAGGGTTTTGCTATGGGCAAAACAAGACTGATCCAGAGTAGAGGTAAATTTTAATCTAGAGATCATTAGCTGAGATGTTATTTGCAGGTGAGATCATTCAGACGTAAAGCACAGATAAGGAGGGGATGGAAAAGCCCTCTGCAAACCTGGGCAGCTCTCTGATGGGTGCCCCAAAGCACTGCTTAGGAAGGGGCAGCTGGAAAGCCAGCGGGGAAGCAGGAGAGCGAGCTTGCAGGGAGAGGAGGGGGATCTGCTGCATTGAAAACAGCCATCAGTGCAAGGATGATGCCTCCACCCTCCGTTCTGGCTACCTGGATGCATCAGAGGCTGCAGTAGGAGCCGGTCACAGCAGCAGGACTTGTTGGAGGTGTTGGAGACAACATCTGGCATCTCCTCCGGCTGCCGGGAGCTCCGTGCTGCAGCTCATGACACCACGATGCTGGAGGCTACTGCTGGAAACCTGCCTCTGGGTGCGGGGACAGTAGGAGGAGGTGGACAGGCTGGAGAAGAGGGAGGAGGATGCTGCAGGGGCTTGCTAGAGCTGGCTCTGAACTGAAAGGAAACAAGATTTCATGCACAGCTCATCACAAACAGGGGTGAATGGTGACTTTCCTGCAATGTAAAAGAGATACCTACAAACTAACAGGACTCTAATTTATCAGAAAAATACATAACACAGGAGGCACGTTGTCTTCTCTTTTGAAGCAAATAAAACCCAAGAGCTACCAGATATGCTGCTGTCGTGCACTCGAGAGGATTGCAGGTCCTGCTCACTGGCTTCTGTGCCTGGCTCCCTCCTGGTGCCTGGCATCTCCGCCAGCCTTCCTGCCTGTGCTCAGAGGGCAGGAAATGCTGCACGGAGCGTCTGCAGGGTGCCAGGCCCATCTTGGGTGCTGCTCCGTTTGTGCAGCCCCGCACAGCCCGACGTTTGCCTTTTATGTGAGTGCCTCCCAGGCAGTGCATCCCGTGCCAGCTGAACTGTAACGGGATACAACAGGATGGGCGCTGCCCTCGGGACTGCAGGGTTCCAACCTCGCTTGCTCCGAGCTGCAGCCGCTGCAGCGACACAAGACAAGCTGCTGCCACAGGAAACAAGATACGGTGCTAGCGCAGCCGCTTGTGTTGAGCAGGGATCCAGCATGACAGAGCAGATGAAAGAAATCCTGAGCATAACTCAGCCTCTTCTCGCAGAGACTTTGGCTGGAAGCTGTAAACACGACAAAAATGCATTTTATACTTTATCAATCTAATGTATTCTCAGCACTTCTCCCTGCTTTTCCCCATTTCTGGCATGTGTTTCTCCCCACAACAGCCCAGCACTCACCTTCCTGCTAGACCTTGCTTACAGCAGCAGCACGTGGTTTATTAACGTGCCTGCTTGCTGCAGCCTTGCAGAAATCACGCCAGTGCTTCCAGTGCCAAGTAGTCTCCTCGGGCTGGCAGCCTGGCATTCTGCTGATGCCTCCGCGTGCCCCATAGGAAGAGCAGAAGCAGCAGACACGGAGGAATCCTGATGTGCCAGGCAGAGCCACTGCCCGGGTCAGTGCCAGGCAGGCTCTCCTGGCTGCCCCCATGCGATTCTTCCTACCCACCAAACCAGAGGCAAAAGAAATCTGTGAACTATGTGTCTCGGGAAGCTCGTTAGGAGACCTGTGGCGTGCAGGCAGCGGAGAAGCCGGTGTCGCTTCCCCGGGCCGCGTGCGAGCTCGGCCCAAGGGACACGGTACCGGCCACAGCACCGGGGCAGGGGCAGCGGGCAGGGATGGGTGGCCCTGCACCTCTGTCCCTGTTCTCACCGTTGCTGTTCTCACCTGCTCGCTCCACAGCTCTTGGGTCTGTATTTTCCTCACCAGGGTGCAGGGGAGGACAGTGCCTTGCAGACGGATCTTAGCCCTGGTTTACAGGCTCTCCGTGGCTAGGGAAGGATGAGGCAGCACCTCAGATCCTGAACTGCCAGGCTCCTACATGCCTCAGATCTGTGAGGTTTTCTTAACGTCTTGGCAGGAAGGCAGGTTTATGAGTTACCTCCAAGGAAGGTTTTCCAGATACCCACCGGCTGAGGAAGCCAAGGAAAACACTGCTGTGGGCTCCAAGGCTGCCCAGCAAAGGCACCCGAGCTCAGCGGAGGGCTCTGCAAACAGCAGCCCTCAGCTGCCTGGTCTGGTCCCGTTCTGAAGGCCCCCCAAAACAGCTGCCACAACCCCATCATCAGGAGCAGGAAGGTGTCTTTACCCCACAGGGAAGTGCTGGATGTCACGCTGAGACAACCACCGCTTCCCTCTGTGTCCCAGCCAGCACTGCCCAGCACAAATGCTGCAGCCCCACCACGAGCACACGTGACGGGGGTGGAAACAACCTAACGGAGCAGGACTACGAGGTTCTGCCACAAGCATCCTGGCTCAGAACAGCGCGTTCCTCCAGGTGCAGCACCCGTGTGTGCAGCAGGCTCTGGCAAAGCAGCGGGCACAGACAGCTCCTGTGCTGAGGCACCCAGGGACCTCCCGGCACTGCTGGCACGCACAGGGAGCTCGGCCCAGGGTGCCAGCAGGAGGTCAGCTCAGCAGAGGCAGCTCAGCTGGACACCAGGGTTACTGGGAGCCATTGGATTCTGCCCTCAGACAGTTCTGGAGCAACTCTGCAGTGGCAACGCAGCCGGGCTTCTTCGCCCCCTCCTTAAACAGCCTCAGCACTGCACAACACATGGAAGAAAGCAACAGGTCACTGGTAGCTCTTGCTGGCTCAGCTCCATGGGACTGCACCTTTTGCACAACTTCCTTCAGCAAAGCAAGGCAGCAACCTGCTTGCTAGATAACACTGCTTCTCCCAAGGAAAAACTGAGGAGCACACGGGTTATTCCCGGGTGAGCCGGCCACGGTGGCAGCTGATGGACATCAGGACAGGACAGCCAGGCACATGTGAGGGGTGGGCGCTTGGGGCCAGCACCTGGATGGAAACCGGGACATGGGGCTGCCTCTGTGCCTGGGCAGGCGCTGCCCCTTAGAGCGGCACGGGCAGCTTGACTTGGAGCTCCTCACAGGCCCAGTGCTGCCTGCGGTTACTCGATTACATCCATCTGTGCTCCCACTGCTAGCCCTTCTCCATTTACAGTCCATGCCCGAACGGGCGGCAGGTTAGCAGGAACAAAGAAAACCCTGGGCTTCTCCTTAGGAGAACAACTCAGCTGAAAAGTGATCCTTTAAAAAGGCACAAAATACACAACAGGTAAGCTAGTCCTCTATTCCCAAATCCTCTACCCTCAGGCATATCGTGAGGATGTGGGAATAAGAAGAGATCACAGTTCCGCCAATTATTCCCCAACTTGAATGTTAAGTATGGGAGAGCAGTGTGTCACATAAAAGGGCAGGTAATGCCCTCTGCAAAGAGATTTTCTCATCCTTTAATCATCTCAGCCCCTGGTCGAGTGCTTCTGCACTCGCCAAAGAGCACACATCAGATTCACCCTGTGCCAGCCCAGCTTCCCCCAGCGACGCAGACATGCAGGATCAGAAACAGAAGACTCCAGGGAAAACACTTAGGAAATCAGCACACAGCTGAAAGTGAACCCCTTGTTGGGAAGATATCCAGTCTGTGACAAACAATCCCATTAAATATGGGTGAAGGCTCTCCAGGTACACTGAAGTATTGTCAGGCACTGTGGATCCGTGCCTAGAGTGTGATTGTTCCCAGCTTCTCCCCGCTGCCAGGAAGAGACTGGTCCAGGTACTGCAGACCTAGCTGAAGGCTGAAGAAGGTTCATTCCTGCAGCAGTCCTGCCTGAAGGCACAGAGCCAGCTGCGTGCAGGGAACAAGGAGAAGGCTGCTCTGTATCTGGATGTGCTCACCCAATTATGCAAGGCTCAGCAGCACCGAAAGATGACAGGGCTAAATCATCTTCACCTGCAAGAAAGTCAGGAAACACAATGAAGTACAGAACATAAAAGGAAGGCTTCATTCAGCAGTCCCTGCATGGCATGCTTGCAGTGATTTATGAAGATCCCACAGAATTTGTTTGTCTTCTACTTTACCTCGGGCACAAGAAAAGAGTCCTCAGGTGCACTAACAACCAAACACAGGAACGAAGCGACTGAGTCAAGCACTGCAGGGAGGGCTCTTTATCAGCCATCCAAGACAGCTAATAAGCTGTGGTACAACTTGAATTTCTGGGAGCTGAATGACGCAGGGAACTCAGCAATGTCCGTGCAGAGCTGTACACCCTGCCGTAAATCCGTAGCCAACAGCATGTTCTCCTGATCCTTCTCCGCTCCCAATTGCTACCAACCCAAGAAATCCCCATATTTCTAGCCACGTACAACAGCATCATTACTGCTTCTCCCTGGCTTTTGTAACTGAAGAATAGGACACCAATTTAGCCCATTGATTGCACAGGAGGACTATACATCCACTAGATGGTTCAGTCCAGTAAGATACTGGCCTTAGCTGTATCAGAAATACCCTTTATAGACCCTCTATAACCCCCCCAGTGCACTACAGCCTCAGTAACCAGTTGCTGTGACCTGGCTTTAATCCTTAAAGTCCTCAGGCTGCTGCCTTATGTTCTCAGCCTTCCTTCACTCTCTGTGAGGCCCTCTGCCTGGCTTCTCCATCTGACACATGGATCTGACACATCTCCACAACTTTAAGTTATTACAACTGATTATTTGGCATATAGGTTTACTTTTTGACTATCCTCTTCCAGCCTCAGGCTCCAAACTGTGATCTCTGACAACCTCGAGCTCCCTCCAGCAGTTTCAATGCAGTATTGCAAGCACAATGTTCACCCCGTCCGTCAAGAATGCAATCCTACGCTGGTGGTTCCCATTTTTCCTGGCCTCCCTCTGCCCCTGGTCTCTTTGCAGGTCTGGAATAGAAGCCAGCAGCTGCTTCCCATCTGCCCTGCTCTATTTCTTGTTGATGGCCAGGAGACTCTCCCCTTTGCTCCTCTCTTTCCTGGAGATGCCAAAGTTGCCACCTGGCCTCCTGTGCATCCCCTCTGCTTACCGTGTCACTTGGGCTGCGTGTCCTCAATGCTGAGAGCTCGACTGCAGCTCAGTACAGGAGCTGTTCGAGGGCACGGAAGAGAACTGCAGTGGGAAGCAAAGACGCAGCATTAGGGAAGCACTGCCTGGGTCACTGGCCTTGTCACCACCTCTTGTGTTGTGGCTTTTCTTTGTGAATCTCAAGAAACTCGCTCTCATGGTCTCCCACAAGCTGGATGCCAAGATCACCAAATAAATCTGGTCACTGAGGAGACAGGAAACCAAACCCCACATCTGGAAGGCTCCTATCTCCTGCACTTGGACAGAGCATCTCACCAGTGCCACAGCGGCCGCGGGGCAAGGCTGTGACAGAGGAAGGCGCTGGAAAGCGGGAGTCGTTCCCTGCTCACCTGCTGGATTTCCTGCATTGCCAGGCGTATGGAAGAGTGCAGGCGAGGGAACGCCCGCTGGCCGCCTCCCTCCTCTCCTGCGCTCGCCCTTGCTCCGCTCTCGTCCGGGCTCTGCTGCTCTTGGCCCCTCTTGGTCCTCCGGAACCACACGCGTTTGAGCACGGAGGCTGCTCCCGTCTGCAAGGGGGGCTTCCCGGCGGGGGGTCCGGGGGGGCAGCTCTGTCCCCGCCGAGGGGCCTGCTCCTCCGCTGCGGGGGCCGCCAGCGAGAGGCCCTCCAGGTCTTCATAGTCCAAACTGGCACTGCTTTGCTGAGGACGAAAGGGGTGCACTCAGCAGCGGTCACTACAGACCCTCTAGGTACCCCAAACAGCACAGCTAAGAGCAATACCCAGCTGCAATCACTGACAAGCCTAGGGCAGGGGTGACATTCACCCCAGGAAACCCCAGTGCCCACCTGGAAGCCTTCCCTGGCACACGCAGGAGAGGGCAGGCAGCTCAGCCAACACAGGGCTCCCACAACGGGGACGAAAAGCAGGGACACTGCCCAGTGACTGTGCCCATGGCAGAGCCCACAGCAGCCCCTCTGGCTGCTGCACATGCTGAGCACTCACCTGCCCGCAGGGAACGCTCAGCGTCTCCATGAAGGGCTGGATGCCCACGGTCTGGTGATAGCGAACCAGCTGGGTGAGCGAGGCGTGGGCCCGGTCCTCCCCCAGGATGACGTAGCGGGCATTGGGCTGCATCTCAATCATGTAGTGCCTGCAGCGGCCCTCACCCCTGCCGAAAGGGACAGGCAGAGATGGTCATGACACGAGGCCACGGCATCTCTCCAGGACCTCGTTGTTGCTTTCAGCATTTGTTGTCTCAGGAGATCCAGGGAGAATCAAGAGCCACAGTACCAAATACTGCAAAGATGCAGCAGATCCTCCATGCTGGAGTGTTGAACACTGTGGTAACGGGTGCTGCAGGAGCATCCGTTTCTCCAAGGTGAGCAACAGGGGCACAGGGAGAACACAGGCTTATGGATCCAACCGCAACAGTCTGTACCATCTCCCAGGCCTGTTGTCCACATCACCACCTGCCCTTCCCCTGCCTGGTGCTGCATGCTTCTAGCACACTCCAATTACTCCTCCTCTTCTCTAGAATAATGTCCTCAGGCCCCAGCAGATACTTCTTCTAGTCACACAGCCATTCAGCACACCCCAAGCAGTACCTGCACCCTGCAAACCAACTCACATCAACTCAGTCACAGACTGACCCAGATTTGGCAAGAGACGGACTCTGCAGTGTCCTGTTTGCCTGGGTTTGAGGCACCCCACAGAAAAGGCTAAGCATCAGACTCAGTGGACTGCTCTGTGGAGAAACTTAACTATTCCAGCCATACACAGCTCAACTTAGGAATTTCTTCTTCCTTCTCTGCAGGGCTCATTACCTGTATGTCAGCGTGTAGCCTGGTCGGCTCTGGCTGATGCGAACAAGGAAGCAGCCCAAAGGTTTATCAATCAGCAAGTTCTCAGCTTCCCTGGAAGCAAGAAAGAGTTTTTCAGGAAGCAGTTGTCTTCACACAGGGATTCCCAACCTTGCAACCATTGCAGCAGTCCCCGTCCACAGGGACACCACTATCTGCCCGCTGTGTTCCCAGCTGGAGGTTTCCAGGCTCAGGCTTGCTAGTGCAGGGAGGCACAAACATGCTGACGTGCTGCAATACTCTCAGGCAAAGCCTTTCCAAGCAGGGCAGCTCCAAACCTGCCCCAGCAGTGCAATAGCAGCAGCACGGAGCACGTGGCAAAGCATGGCTGGGGGAGAGGCCGCTGCACATGCACAATTCCTCGGCTCTGGGGCTGCTGGAAGAAGTGGGAAGGCTTTGGATTAGTGGCGCTCAGCACAAGGAAAGCCCAGGGCCTTGGAAAAAAGCCAGCTGTGGCTACTCTGGTTCCCTAAACTTCCCTGCTGGGAAAAGGTCTTCCCCGTTTCTGCCCGATAGACAAAGCACTGCTTTGTGCTGGCCACGTGCCTTGCTCCAGATTAAAGGCAACTGCACATCACGAGTGCAAGCTGGGATTTGCTCTTCCCACTCTGCCACTTGAGCCTAAACTAATTCAGGGAGACCAGTGAGTCTGGTCATTCAGTGGCATGAAGCACCACTCCAAAAGTGCTTAAAACCTCCGTGTGTCTTGGGAAGGGCCTGCAGGCAGAGAATCTGCTGTTTCCTTCACAGTGATGTGCTCATCGCTGGCCTATATTTGAATTAAAGCAGTCATGTCCCGCAGACACTAGCTCTTCTCAAGCATTCTTGCACTCGTGGATTAATGCAGGTTGGGGCCTTGTTAATTACCTTAAAATGTAGCTGTCAGCTACTAAAGGGCTCTGTACTAAGCTGAGATGTGTAATGTCTCTGAGTAATATAATGCTCATACTGACAAGCTAATAAAACCCAGCAACCTGTGATCCAGTAAGACCAAGGGAGCCCTGCAGCGTTAACAGGGGGAAAAAAAAGTTGCAAACTGAATAGGATGGTGAGGATGTTTGAATGGCAGGCACATTTGGCAGCAGTGCCCCCTAAATAAGGGGACTCTGGCAGTTAGCAGGCATGCAACACCATAAATTAATTTGTACGCAGGGGAAACCGTAGCTAGAAACTTTGGCATCTACCTGCTAACCTCACTATCTTGCTGCTATCTGATCACTGGCGTAATCAGCATTTCACTGCTTGTCACACTGCTTGGAAAGAAAAAGTGTTTGGCTCAGCCAAGAGAGTAATGTGAGAGGCATACACAGGAGCATAATTTTAGGCATTTAAATAAAGGTTTTGCAGGGGGAAGGGAAAAAAAAGCTTGGGAATTCACAGACACTTAAATGCCTCCACGGGAAGGCTGGGTTTTGAGGATGTCTCTCCCAACCTAGGGGATTGTTAATTCCACCTTTGCCACATTTTCCTTACTTAGGCAGAGGCATCCACAAAATCCTGTCTCCTCCCATACCTGGGGGCTTTGTGAATCTTGTCATTGGATGCTCACGAAAGTCCCTCTTAATAGGTTTTTTAATAAATGTATATTAAATTCTGCATTCCTCTGCCATAAGAACAGCAACTGAGGAATGTGAGAACAGCTCTAATGAGTCAGCTCAAAAGTCCACCTTTTTCCCCTTCAAGCACTTTCCAAGCTTCCCTTCCCCACACAGGGTCTGTATTGAAGAACCCACAGAAGATTTCTTTTCCATGAGCTCGCACTGCCTTTCCTTGAGCCCAAATAAAGCTTCAGCATCCGTATCATGTGGCAAGGAGCTCCAGGCTCCCTCTAATGGTTTGAAGGTCAGCCTAGAAGTGAAAAGTCCTGCATGTCCTCAGTTTCTTTATGGAGGCAAATCCATAGGACTCCAGTCTCTCCTCCTAAGGACACAGCAGCTTCTGCCCGTTTGTCCCAGCCCCAACTGTGACCAGTGTGTCCACCCCAACACACTCACCTCCTGCTGATCATCCCATGCAGCCAGCTGGGAAAGGCTCCATCGTCCTGCATGACCTTCTGGGCCTGCGTCTCTCTGAACCAACGGAGAGTCGCTCCTCGCTTGAGTTTCCTCATTTTTGCCTCTTCTCCAGCCTGTTCCTCTGTCCCCAGGATGGGGCGAGGCCCAGGAGGGTGCAGGAAATTATCAAAAGGAGTGGACTGGAAATGGGGACAGGGGTAAGTGGGCATGAAAGCAACGTCAGAGGCAAGGCCCCAGAAGAGACCACTTTGGTAGATCTCATTCCTGAGGCCCCGCAGTTAGGACAAGATCCCCAGTCATCCGACTCTGCTTTCAGTTCCTCAAAGGCACCGACAAAATTTTTTCACTAACCACATTAGAAAAGAGCTCTCTCATCCCTGAGAAGTACAGTTTTCTCCCGTGACCACATGCAAAAGAACAAGGATATGCAGAAGGAGCAGGGAAACAGCACACACGACTAAGGGACCCCAGACAGAGCTAGTATTGCTACCTCTGTGAGCTTGCTGCGTGGCCGTGGCACTGGGGGCTGCGGCGGCATATCAGCTGCAGGACAAGGAGAAGGTTGAGAGCGTCTCTTTCGCGGCAGAGGAACTGGCAGGGAGACTTTTTCTGGAACAAGAGCAACAGGTAGATGAAATCTGGGATCCAAGATCAATGGGATCTGTCCTCCATACGCCCAGAGCAGGAACAGGCATGCAGATAGAGCAGGAGACGTTCTTTCCAGCACACGCTAGAGCAACAGAAGGAAGAGGGACCATCAAGAGAATAAGTTCAGTCCTTTCCCATCTCTCCTCGGTCAGGCTGCTGAGGCTGGGAAGGGAGAAAAGAGGCAAAGAACACGGCCTCAAGTCCACCATCAACTCCCGCTCCACATGCTACAAGGAGACGTGACAAATCACAAAGCAGTGACACAAACGCTCCCCATGAGCAGGCGGGAAAGGCCATCCTGGCATTCCTCCCAACACAGCCAGGTAAATGACCTCCATTTGCTCTTTCCTCACAGACAAAACCTCACTGACAAACGGGCCACATAAGTGGAACTTTCAGCCCCACAGGGACCAAGGACATGCCACCATGGCCAGGATTTTAAAGCACTTTGAAGAGATCCTCACAAAAGAGGCCCCATACTAGTGTAATGGAAGTAGAAACAACTCACTTCGGGCTTCTGCTTCCACCTCCAGCTGCCGGATTCTCTCTCTCTCTGCCTCCTCCTGCAGCCGTAGTGCCTGAGCTTTCAGTTCAGCCACCAGTTTCAGGTACCTCTTCCTGCAGCTGAATCCCCTGAAAACTGTTCAGAGAAAAGCCGTGGTTAGAGGAAAAAATGCTAATCATATCTTGTCACTCCCAAGTGGAAGCAATATTCCTTTGCCCTGTGCAAAGTCTTCAGTGCTTTAAGTCCACTTGAACTGCTGCTAACATGTATTAAACCAAATCAGAACTGTTTTCTATTCCCTGACCTGTCTGATCACAGATTTTGAGGATCAAATCACAGATCTCATCCCACCTCTAATGCTACGGCACAAGTTACCTAAAGAACAAAGTATCACACAAGGGTCACTGTTAACCATTCCTCTCCTTTGGGCCACTATTGAGCAAAAGCAGCACTCAGGTGCGCAGGAGTCAGGGTTTCCTTGATGACCTTACCCATACGCAGCCCTCACACATTCACCCGCAGCATTAGAGACATTATGTTATCCTGCATCAGGTGAAAACAGCATCCTCTGTTTCTCCTTAAGGACACTATCCACTCATGTTGCCCACAGAAGAGCGCAAGGAACAGCATGTGACAGTCTGATGTTTGCTGAACTGTGTGGGGTGTAATTGTAATTGAAAGTTCCTCAGATGTTTCAGCTTTGGGCACCGGACTGAAGAGCAGCAGAGCAGGAAGATCAGGCTGGGTGGAAGCTGCCTGCTCTTGGTTATATTAGCCCTCTTGGGGCCTCTGCAGAGGGAAGCACCAGACTGCCCACAGCACCCTGCTCTGTAGAAATAGGCTGCCAAGGCATAAAAATCCACACCATTCTGCCCCTCTCTGAAAGCAGGACTGAGATCTGCTTCACTTTCAGTAACAGAGTCTCCTCAGCTTAACAGCACTCACAAGGCAGCCCTCACTCCCTGGTATGAGATCAGGGCTGAGGGGCTGTCCCCTCCCAGTGCTCACCTTTCTGTATGACAACCGCTGCTCTTTCCAGTTTCTCCACACACTTTTCCAGCTGTTCCTTGTGCCAATATTTAAAGAAGAGTCGTGACTTTCTGTGAGATTGGGAAGAGAAAGAAACACTGAGAAAGATTCTTTGAATTTGCATCCCATCGAGCATGAACAGACCCTTCATACAGCCACAGCTTCTTCCTCAAAGGCAGCCAGAGAACAGTCTACATGGATGAAGTCTCTGCAGTTCAGACCCCCCAGTCCCTACAGCAGGGATCCACACTTACCCACATATCCAGCCTGTCAGGTCTGTACTTTGCAGTATCTCCAAACAGCTAAAAGAGATGGAAAAAAAAAGTGCAAAAGTCATTTTTTCACCCAAAGCAAATGCTGCAGCCAGTGATTTTAGGTGTATAAAGGACATGAAAGTGCCTTGGAACTTCTGCGTTATATTCCTTGGCCTCTGTCACTGATCACATTCAGTAACTAGCTCATAATCTATAAAAGCCCTTGAGGTAGACCTGGGAGAGAATCACACTGTGGAGTGTCCGCAAAGGGATTCCTAAAGACAGACACTCTTCAGATACTTGGAAATGTGCAGGGTGTATCCTATTCCCAGAGGTGGGTTTTATCATTTAGGTTCTAAACAATTTGGAGCACACAAGTTGCAGGATCTCTGTGAATCCTGGAAAGAGATAGTTTTCCAATTCTGATCTCATTTTGCAGGAAAACTCCAGGAGCATCACAGAGACGACCTCCTCCCTCTGCCTTCACATCCTGATCATAGCACCATAGTGGCACTTTTCACCAGCATGCTACATAGCAAAACAGAACTGGTTTTCCTTCTCCCTCAGCCAAATTCTGCTGTGCCAAACCTACAAGTGAGGTTATATTTTTCCCAAATGCATCCTATGATTTTAATGTCTGAAAATACATGGTGCTGCTTGCCCATCACCACCTCTCACTATAAGACCATCTCTTGACCTTATTTGGGTTTGCAATCCCTATTCAGGCTTGCCAGAAATTTCAAGGAATCTCTGAGGGTTGGAGTTGCTGCTCCAAGAGATAGCTTTTCAGAAGAACATTGAAATCCTTTTCTTAGAAGGAGACAAAAAAGTGTGTGTGTATGCATATATATCTCAGACATCTGCCTTACATGCTGCTTTATTCTCACAATCTCTCACAGTTGACTGTGGCAGGAAGGGAAGGACTGGAACAATGAAGAAGAGAAGGAGGTGGGAAGTTGCTGTCCTAGATGTTGGAAGGGGAAAGGTGACTGTAGGAACAGACTACAGAGTTGGAGAGACCTTTACATTTTAAATGTTGTAGGAAGGTATGAAAAAAAATTGAAAATGAAAAAAAAATAGTTGCTGTGGGTATGTTGTGCCTATACACATAACAAGTTCTCGGACCGGAGATACATGCGCTTTAGCTTGTGAGACATTGAGCACTGGTTGCTTAGTCAATCCTGTTTTCAACTTACTCTTCCCAAATCATCAGGAAAGAACCTGGAGAGGCTGCATGTCCAACTGAGCACAGCGGACATCCTACCTAATCCTTGAAATCGAGTCCATTTACCACTTCTGCTTTCACAGGATGGGAAAACATATTCCATATAGTAATCCACAAAAGATCTCATTCATCATTGCACTAAATCATTCATAAAACCCTAACTGTCTTTGTCTAGGTATTTATGGTCCCCATCACCACAAAAATACATCCTCAGTTTGCTCCTTCTACTCAGTTTGCTATGCTATCCTGAGAGCAAATGTTTCTGAAAAACAAAAGGGACTGAAATTGGATTGCACATGATAGGAGCAGGATTCTTACCTTTCTTTTGTGAGAGACACATCTGGTTTAACGAGAAGAATTCCATATCTGTCAAAAACAAACCAAAGTAGTCTTAGGCATGTAAATTTTAAAGATAATTTTATTCTCTGCCCAATTACAGCTACGAGGATCACTTTTCTGACAATATTTAGCATAGAAATTTCCAAAGGTTTAACAAACCTTTCAGCAAACTCCTCAAATGAGGGTCTCCAGGAGAAACCATCTCGTCGGATGCGGATGGTCTCCAGCAGTCCGTTGTACCGGAGCTGAAGCGGCAGCATAGAGAGGATCGGAGGAACAGACAGTCACAAGTCAGAACAGGTCAGTAGGATATCACCTCATTCCTCTGCAGAAAAACTCCTTCATTCAGCCCCAAGCCTTTCTCGTTCAAATGAATGCTTCTTTAAAAAATGTTTCCTTGGTTAAAGGCTGAATTTACCAAATCCTTCAACTCTTATGATTGCGTTCATGAAAAATAAACGGGAGAGAACTGGGAATGGGGAGTCTGGACTTAGCAAGCTCTCACAAAGGCAGCTAAGCACCCAGAACCTTTGCACGTGTAAGGATGTCCTACTGTTTTCTCCGCAAGAACCTTCATTCAGACCAGTCATCTTCTGGCCATATCCATGGTCTTACAGTGGAGTATGCACTTCCCTCCCTCAGATCCATATCCATTTTCCACCAAGACTTACCCGAGGCACCTGCCAAGAAAACTGCTGTTTCCTCACCTGCTGCAGCACCACCGGGCTGTCCACCACGCCTGGCTCCTTCTGGCTGTTGGGCTTTATGCAGCGCACAAAGTGCGGGCTGGCAGAATACATCCTCTCCATGAGCACCATCAGGGAATGCTGCGGACAACACAAAGGTCAACGGTCCAGCAAGGCAAAGTGCTACCAGAGCCCTTTGAGGGCAGGATCCTGCTCATAAGAATTGCTTTCCCACACCACCAATTCAGGCTCTTTTAAGCTCAAGCGTCCAGGAATATGCTGGAATTCCATATGCTGGAAGCTTTGCTGTGTGTAGCAGCTTGGAAGCTCTTAAGAACATCCCTGCACACATCTAAAGGGCACTGCGGGCAGCAGGACTTTACCCGGAACTGAGCTCCCACGGACTGCTTCCGTGTGCTGTTGAACTTGTCATCTGCCCCTGGTATGACCTGAAACCAGACCAAACAAAAGGATTATCCATGGAATATCAGGAACAGAGCCACCAATTATCATCTGCTAGGCAGACCAGAAGTGCAATACCTTGGCTTTCACATGAGGCATTAGTGTCCCAGTCCTGGAGATAGTGGCTGGAAAAACAAATAGAGTAACTTCTTTTGTACCCTTACCCACAATCAACTATATTTAAATATGTCAAACTTCACATGCACATTGCTCCACAAAAACTGAACAACAGAGAGGAAAATACAAGGAAAGAGCTAAAGAAGAAGAGAAGAACATTCAGGTATATAAAGCAGACAATACAGGCAATCTTGTTTTCTGCTATAGAAGAGACAAGGCGGGCAGGTTACTGAACAACCCTTAATGACCTTCAAAAGAAATATCATCAACAAGGAAGCTCCAACAACGCAAGAAAAAAAAAAAGTATAGCTAGTAAACAGAAAGCTCATCTACAGCAGTCAACATGGGAGAGTATTCAAAGTTAAATAACTTTAAATAATTTAGCAACAAAATGAGAAATTCAGGGAATTCGAGTTTACTGGACAATATAATGACACCCTTGATGCAACAGTGTCATCTGCACTGAGAAGAGGTTATACCTGTTGTTTATGAACTTACAAAGAGTTGGAACTAGATTAAATATCTTCAGTAGCAGCATGTAAGGAACAACAAAGAGAGACCTTGGTGAAACAAAGCAGAAGGACTGCAAAACACAGCGAATACTAGAAATGAAATTTATCAGTCACTTTAACTAGTATCTGTGAAGGTCAAGCTTTTGATGTCAGAACTATGTGGTATGGAGGGGTGCCTCAATTCCACAGCAGGAACAATGTGAGGACACCCCTAGGCAGGTATGTCTGCTATAATGCATATGTACCAAGGGAAACAGAACAGCTCAGAGCTCTGTATAAGTCAGAAGGCTGCTCTAGGCAGCAGCCTTTCCAGAAGCTCTTTGAGGTTGCCAGCTCTGGAGCACATTAATGGCTCATGAGCCTCATTTACACACTAAGCTCTTGCCAAGGAGGGCCGTGATCCATGTGGGATGCCCTATCATATGAGAGGGACTTGCCTGTGAAGAGCACACTGAGCAAAGGGGTGACACTGTTGATGAAGAGTCCACGAACATTGGCTGGCAAGGTGTCCCTATTCTTCTCTAGAAAGCCACCAGCAGTATATTGTACCTAGGGGAAAGCGCAGCAAGTCAGTAAGGCCAGCAGCTCTTATGGGTTGGCCCCAAAAGCCACCTCAAGGGCTCGCCAGGAGCAACTGTTAATCTAGATGTATATGCATTTACAGAATTCTTGTGCAGGTCACTACACACTCCCTTCAGATGCACATTCTGAGCATCAAAACCAGGAGGATGGTGCTGAGACGTTAGAATTACAGGACTGCAGCCAAACACTGACACATTCACAGTTCTTGTTCTGCATTCTTTTGGCTCTAAATCAAGGTGTTTTCACATTTCAATATGTAAACAAGTGCTCACATTTTCAAAATGTTTACTATCTAGTTGCTCTCACTGGCTTCCTCAGTGCTTGAAATAAACTAGTGACTTTTATCAGCATCAGTGGACTCCTGAGAGCTAAACATAAGCCACTAGACTCTGTCAGGGCTTTACAGTGCATGCAGGGCTTTCACTTTATGAAGGACTATTTGAAGACTGGAGCCCCAATACAGTGATTACAGATATGACAACAAAAACCTCTAAAACCTTATGACTCCTGAAGAAAATGGGGTTTCTCTGGGAAGAATCTCTCCTCTTACATTTTCTAACGAGCTCCATTTACCCTAGAAGGCAGCTCCCAGGAGACACGACACTCCTTTAGGACCATACACTGTTTAATTTCATAGTCTTATTTTTAAGCAACACATTTTTTCTGCCCTACACACATTCCAAAGCACACTTCCTGAAAACCACACTTACATTCCCAGCATAGTGAATGATGCTGAAGCCCAAAACACGGCCTCGACCTGGCTGGAAGTGCAAATTCCCCTTAAAGCTGCTGTTCAGTTTATCCACAAATGTTTTATCAGTTGCCTGCAAGAAAACAGTTTTCATAAATTATAATGCTGCAACATAGTCCTGACCGGGACACACAGGAGTAAAACAAAATGTTGGAAGTGGCCTTGACCATGCAATAATTTCTGAGTACTTAAGCTTATTTATGCAGGGATGCGGATATCTTTGGACTGTCCTTGATCTAGCTGTCCGGTTTCCACACATGGAAACACCTCTGCTCATGCTGCTTCTTTTAGCAATGCACCTACATTACAGCACAGATATTCATTGTCCAGTTCTCCACACCATTTTCTCTGCCTCCCATCTCACGCCTACCTGAGGGAATGCACTCTGCTCATCCAGAAGAGACAGCAGCCCAAGTGGTTTGGCCAAGAGCAGGTCCTATAAGGAAAAGAAAGTTGTTAGACATAGTTAAAGCAGCTCTTACTCATCTATGTCACTTTTGGTAAAGTTTCTTTCCAGATACATCTCCTCCCCATGGTGGAATGAGGAAGTCTCCTCTCTTGGCTGGATAGAGTATCTCACTTGTCAGTCTTATATCACTCACCAGAATGGGCTCGTTATTGTTGAACTTGATAGTTTCCCAAGGCAGCTCTTCCTCTCTGTAGGCAGCCTGCTCCAGCTGGAAGATGTGCTGGGTACAAGGGTACAAAAGCAGAGACTGAAGCCCCCAAACTCCAGGCTCAGACAACCCTGAACACCTTCCTTCCCACCCAGAGGAGAGGATGTAGGCATGGCTGTTACTCATGGATCAGGGCCCAAGGGTAAAATAGCTGTTTCTGCACGTCCATTCGCAACCTTGTTGCTCACTGCTGCTGCATAAGGCAGGAACATCTTTTAGGTCACCACAATGTTCACAGGTCCTCGCTTTACTAGCCTGGTCACTGCTTGACCTATTCACTCCTACTTTTGTGCACAGGTGGTTCCTCTGCTATGGCAGATTCTTGCTCTCTACCCTGCTGTGCCAAACACTCTTTCTATCTTTCCAGACAATGGGCCTTGTCCCTTTCACTCCTCTTCATGTGCTCTGCTTTCCCCCATCACACCACGTGAAATTACCCACTTTAGACTTACATGGTTGAAGAAGTGCTGCAGCTGCTCGTTGGCCAGGTTTATGCAAAGTTGTTCAAAACGATTCACTGCAAAGTTTTCAAACCCAAAGATATCCAAAATTCCTAAAAGAGGGCAGATGAGCATGTTATGGAACCTGCACACCATGCCTACAGGTAGCTAAATACCCCAAAACACAATGACTCTCTCAGAGCCTATGAAGCCAAGTTGTCAGCTGCACATCTCTCCAAGTTCCTTTTGGATAACTAGCTAGGAGATCCCCCACACCAAGCCCAACTCCTCTGCAAAGCCAGAGCATCCCAGAGTGACAGCCCCACAGGTACTTCAGACCAACTGGCTGCCCTTCAGACTTCATGCTGTTGACTAGTACCTTCAACATGATCATCCTTTTGAGAAGATCATCATACCTCATATCACACTGTTCCTCCATCCTGTCTGAAGGACACACATATTGAGGGCAGAACAGGAGCAAGACGAGCCAAACTCACCTATCTCCCTGAGCTCCACCTCAGGATCCACATTTTCAGCCAGCAGCTCATTGATCTTGGAAACAATCCAGCCAAATACTCGTCCATACGCTACCTTTGCAATGGAGTCTCGAGCATCTGCACAGGGTGGCAGAGAACGACAGCGACTCACTAAAGAGCTCCAAGAAGAGCAGGGAACAGAGCACAGAAGCAGTTTCAAAACACCCACCTCTAGCAATAATGGTTTATGAAGCTGTTTTGGAGAGGGCAACTAACCAGATATCTGACGATCTTCCCCACCCTCTGCAAGCCCACACAGAACTCTTCCTTTCTGAAGTCTGATGGTTAGATAATACCAGAGAGGTGCACTAGAGCCCTTGTAAGATCACATCAAATAGAAAAGCTAATAATAAAAAATCTAACTGTTATTTAGAATATCCTGTTTCCTCCTCTGCCGGTCTACAGAGTAGAAGTCCTATATACAATCAAAAATCAAGTAACACCTCCAGGTGGCACTCAGAAAACTAAATGGTCACTACAAACACTTGAACTTTCTGCTAGCCAACAATTGCTGCCTGAAATATTTAAACAAAAATAAAATTGCTGAAAAATGTGCTGATATCCTAGGAGGGAGACCTAAGCAACACGACCAAGAACTCCTGTCTGAAGTGTTTATTTTATTGCCTAGAAAGAGGCATGAAGAGACATTCAGGAAACTGAAGTAAATAATTCTCAGTTTTCATTTTTTGTTCTACTTATTTAAGCAATTATTTAGAAATTCTCATTTCTAGTTGGGATTTCATGTTTATTTTTTAAATGTCTTCTATTTTAACTCAACCTTTTTGTGAAGATTATCTTTGGTTGCTTTCTTACTGAAAGAGAAAGTAACACTTCACACTTACTATTTTAATGTACTTTTCCATATGTGTCATTCCTTCCCTGTGCTATGACACTGACGATCTTAGTTATTTCTCCACCTATTACCCCGAATTTTGCACATTGCCAGCTATTACAGTTGTCTTCAAGGCTGGATTTGAGGGAGAAGAGGAGGGAGGCTGGATTTGAAGGAGATAGCTCTACAGTCTCTGGGAGATCAAACAAAAGCAGGGCTCATGGTGCTATGCATCAATGAGTCCAAGAGAACAGATACACTTGCCTTTATGCAAGAGAAACCAGGAAGCTGCACTGATAGGGATCTTTGTGCAGTTTCTTTGTGCAAGAAACTGCACACGAGTAGAGACACCCTTTTATCAAATGCATGTCAGCCTTTCTACTCAGTACTTCTGTGATTTACGTGTTTCTTACCTTCTGCCTGCTGCTTGGTGTGAAAGCGCTGAATCTGCTCCCCCCGCGTCACTGACATTGTGCAAATGAGACATTTCAACAGTTCATCTTCTTGAACGCCAAACTGACCCTGGGAGAGGGGAAATACAGCAGATCAGCCAACGCTGAACCCTTATGTGGGGTCTGTGTCTCCCTGTGCACGTGTGACACCCAGTGTGAGGGAGCCACGATTCACACTGAGGCCTTTGAGAACTGCTGCAATGTAAATATTAGGTTAACATTGACCAGCATTAAGAGTAAGATGTACACCCTGAGACCTTGGGTATCCCACGCAGTGATCAAACTCACTCTTGCTCCCTCTTTGATGTATTTTGCATCTTAATTTCCCAGTGCTGCCACCTTTCACCTTCCACGGGAGCTACACACCAGCTATACATGGAGCTATACATCCCTGCTGAATGGTTTAATGACTTATTGTATAACACCACGATGAGGTGGTTTTGCAGGTGCTAACGGGAGCTTCAGCAAACTTTAGGCTAGCCACATGAACTCACAGGAACCAGGATCAAAGGGAATACAGGGCAGGTGAACGACTTAGCAATTGCTTTAACAGAAATCCCTTCTGGTGGGCAATAAGTGAAGAGTAAAATTAAATTAAAAAAACCCAAAAAGACGTCTGCCGAAGAGATGTAGGTGGTTGCTTCATGAAGAGTGTGGGAGGGGAACAGGCAGAGATGGGAGTGAAACAACAAAAAGGTACTGTGGTTTCATATAGGTCAAAAGAAAAAGTCACGGAGAAGGCAGAAACATTTGTTAAAACTTTCTGCTCTGTGTTGTTAACAAAGCAGATAATATGTTCATCCCATATAAGAAAACTAGGTGGTCTGGGGAAATATGTACTTCTCAATCTGATGTTAGTTTGGCCAGAAGAGCAAAATGTTTAATTCAGGATTGACAAAAAATAATAGTGGTTATGATGGTATCTTTGGCCAGGTTACAAGCCTAGCCAAAAAAAACCCAAAAAACAAAAACAACAACAACAAAACCCTATGTAACTTATGTACTATACACTTGAATTTCTCCCAGGTATCACACTTGGTATCACATGACTTTCGATTTAAAAAATTTCATATTATATGAAGTCAACAAGATAAACGTAATATTGCCACATGCAAGAAAATATTTCTGGGGAAAAGAAACAAATAGCCTCAGAATCACTGTACAGTTAGTGTGCTGCAAGACTCAGTTCAGCGGTAATATTGTTCATATTGTTCCCTAGATATTTAGGAAATAGAAGCTGAGAACTGGATATCACCAGCAGTCCTACAGAGATGGTCAAGGTACTCATGGGGTCATACTGGGCATTTCTGGAAGAATTTCCTTGTTCTTCAGGAATTCTTTAGAGAATGAAACCTCCCCTGCAATATCTGGCAGAAGCAGCTCCTGAAATCCCTACAGGAAAATTCCATCACCTTATAGATTTAAGAGCAATTCTTAACATAAGTGTTGTCTAAAGACGATGCTAGGAGGGACCGGCATCAAATCCATAAGGTTTCTGTCAGTTGTTGTGACTCACCGCTGCAGCTTTCAGCCATCCCCGGGAAGCTTCACTCACTTTCACAGACACGCTGTTCTCCTGAGGCTCGAAGGTCACGTTGCCCAGGGACAAGACACCAGCCAATATTGCCTGCATGTCCACTTGCTCCTGAAACACACCGCAGGAGTAACTGAAAAGCTGTCACCACTCAGCCTGCCCCAAAGAGCTTCCATGTTTCTTAATCAGAGAAGATGGAGAGGTGAGGGAAAGGCACAGGGAACCTGCAGAAGGAGGCTCTACATAAGACTGCAAGATTCAGATGGTTTGGAAGCAGCATGGAAAGTTCAGAGGGTAGAGAAATGGGAAATAACTGCAGCCAGAAAGAAAGCCTAAATCCGTAGGAAGAAGCAAGGGGTCCTTGGGACTCACCTGTTCTTGGAAGCCCACCATGTCAAGGGCGTTGCAAACCTCTTGATATTTGTGCTTCCAATGCTGAGCTACATCTTCTGTACCAAAGCGTCCACTTATGTACCTGAGAAAGTGCATATCCCATATAAAATCATCACATAATCAGCACAGCCACTAGTCCTACCCTACAGTAACAAAGCAGATCAGGGATAGTGGAGACTTGAACGGGAAAAGCTTCTCCGGGGTCATACAAATCAGAATGAAAGAAGAGATTTTCAATCAGCCAGCTTCCAAGCTGACCCATAAGATCTCTTCAGGTGTCCCCATTCAGATCCTGCCCGCACTTCCATTAATTTGTTCACTCCTAGCTCCTCTATGCTGCGCCCTCTTCCACCCCACACCAGAAACACTAATGCAGGATCTGCCTTTGAAGTACCTGTATAGGGAGGGATCCAGCAGTCCATACATCTCCTTTTTCTCTGACGAAAGCCCAGCAAACATGTAGTAGAAGATATGGAAATTCCTCTCTCCAGTATCTTGTCGTACCACTCGTGACTTCTCCAACAGATACTCACTCAGCTTTGCGCCTTTCACTGCACCCAGAAAGGTAACAAGCTGAACTTGCAGACATATAAAGCTGACCGAGCTATTTTCCATCACTTATTTGGTGAAAGCAGCATAGTCTTGTCTAAAATAGGTACCTAGTGTACAACACCCTTAAAGCCTCCCGTCTCCCTGGAAGTGGTTCTCCCCATGCTTCCCATCATCTTAGAGATGTGGCCACTAGAAACAATCAAGATTCCAGGCACAAGGGAGTACAACTGACACCCCTCCTCCACTATACCCTTCCCATACCCCACATTGTCTGAACCCAGGTCTTGTCCTTAAGTCCTTAAGTTCTACCCGGGTCTATCCTTAAGTTACCATGAGATTTTCTTCACTGCGCACCCTTCTCATCAAGCTTCCAAATTTTACCCTCCACAAGTTCTCACTACTGAGTCCAGGCCCTCCAATGCCTACCCATCCTCCAAACCAGACGTTTCAAACGTTGCCCTTGACCTTACCTGTATTCTTCTGGAAACGCAGCTGTATGTATTTTCCAAAGCGGCTACTGTTGTCATTCATCACAGTCTGGGCATTCCCAAAAGCTTCAAGCAACGGATTTACCTAAAAGAGGAAGAGAAATAACAGAAACACTCTTGAAATTAAGTGATTTAATTCGGAAACTGCTTATTTGGAAAAATTTAACTTGAGCACTTGATGATTAGCTTGCTTTTCAATTACTCATGGAATAGGAAGCACTCCATCAGTGCTCAAGTGCATCTGTTTTGTCATATCCTGGAAAAATGAATTAAAAGACAAATATATTCTAATATATTCATAACATGTTCATATGACAGCAAAGAATGCTTGCTGGCTGGAGGAAAAGGGACTTGGCCGTGTGCTGAGTAAGCTGCTGAACACAACTTTGCAGCACTGCACTGTAGCCTCAAACAGGCTCAGCCCTTCTATATATCTCATATATATCTTCTCTCTCTATCTCTCTATATATCGTCTGTGTATCTCCCAGAGCTCAAAACACAGCACAGAAATACCTCCAACCTGAAAACACTGACTTTTTAACGATGATGGGCCCAAGGGCTCATCCTGCTTATCTTTTCACAAGGAAGATTAAGGTATGATTTGCTCAAAAACTCTTGGGGTGGCAATTCAAATGAAAAAAAATAAGATCAAAGAGACAAAAGTATATGAAAAACAGCCAGTAAAGGTATATTGAAACAGCAGAGATGAAGCTAGGGAGGCATAGCAGGTATGTTCCTGACAGTGTTTTACTAGTCAAAGAAACATTTCCAAAAGCCCTGTGGATTCTCCATCCCTGTGTATCATTACATCAAGATTTCGTATCACAGAAACAAAGAAATCCCTGTTCTACACTGAATAGGAAGGAAGCAATTCCAAAAATCCCTAATTGCTTTTCACAGACAACATGCTAAAATGATCACAGTGATTATATCATTTAAGAACGAGCCCACTGCATTCCAAGCAAACGGACTTACCGACCCTTCCACACCATCTCATTTGTGGGCAGCTGTTTCACCATTCCGACCCACTGCTTCCTTACAATGTGGCTAGATGGTTTTTTCCCCCTTCCACATCCAGTGTGATAATGCATCAGGGGGATCCCCGAGCCAAGCCCAAGGCTCCCTGCAGCACTGATGCTTCTCCATCTACAAATACCCGCTGTGGTGACCTACCTGTAAGATCTGCTGCTCCAGCTGCGAGTTGCCTCTGCAAAGATTCATGATGTGCTGCAGCAGCAGCTTTGTGCTCTCCGTTTTCCCTGCGCCACTCTCCCCGCTGCCAAGAAAAAGCAAAGTTAACTTCTACCAGCCATAAAATGTAGTTGTCCTGTCCCTTCTATCTCAGTGTCCCATCACCTGAAAGCAACATCTCCTATATCCAAGTGGTTAGGACTTTCTCGGCTGCACCAGATATGGGGCACCGGCTTGGACCACAGTTTTATTACACAGTGAGCTCCACAAGGTCCTGATATGTCCCCAGAGGAACTTTTCCCCATTCACTGTGATATTCCATGCTACCACATCTGGATGAGATGCACCACACAGTCCCGTTTGCTGTGCTTTGTAGGAAAATCATCATATGGGATGATTTTGGAAAACACCCTTTGAAAGCACCTGGTTCACAGATTCCCTGGCACAGGCTTGGCCTGGCAGCTTCCCCTTTCTGCCATGCACAACCGAGCGCTGATCTCATGACACCGGAGCGGGCTCCGACCTCCTGCCTTCCACACACCCACGTGCGTGGGCTCTTCCCGAACGCGGGAACGCGCCGCGGAGGCCGACAGCCGAGACATCACACGTCATTCCGGCGCCACACATTCCCAGTGCCGCCGCCTCCAAGGCAAACAGCCGCACGCGGAAAGCACAGCCTGGGGATGCACAGCCTGTCAACAGGGGCCCGGGCCCCGTTCTGGTGGAGACCTTTAGCATAAGCCTAGGAAAAATCAAATGCAGGAAATGCTGAAGGTTTAAACACGGGGGCAGGTCTCCGCTTACACATCTGACCTTTGAGCTGCCGCTGCGGCTTTACTGCTCAGTAGCTCCCCAGAGCCCGGTGGAACAAGGTGAATTCCACTCGAGTTTTCGGACGGGGAGCTCTGGGCACGGAGGCAGCGTGCGCTGCTGTCCTGGGCTCTTCTGGAGCCCCGGCAGTGACTGGGAGGGCAGCAATTTTCAGAGGGAGAGCATCCTGCTATAATGACTGAAGGGGACTTTGGGAATTGTTCTGCTTGGAAAGGAAATAAGGAAGAAAACAGCATCTCAGCGTGATGCATAGCTGGGAGCCAAGGCCCCAGTTTACTCCTGTCCCTGCATTGCAGCGAGACGCTGGTTCCTGGGAGGACGCCAGGACTCCCTGCCAGATGCCTTCACAGAAGCCAGTTTTCCTCCGCAGCATTCCCGAGCTGCTGCAGCCGTGGGCATAGCACAGCTGCAGAGCATTAGCGGCCGGCAGCCCCGTGACGGATACCTGACCCCAGGCACACATCAGGCCTCCGTCATCTGAACACACACAGCAAAACAGGCCCTTTTGCTAGCCGAGGACAAGCCATCCGGGCAGCATTCCTGCCCGGCACGGAAGGGGATTTGTTTTCAGCGACTTCCTTCCTCAACAAGGCCAAGATAGGGATCAATGACAGCAATAGAGAGACGGTGATAGCGATTGATAGACTAGACAGTGATAGATCAAGATAGCGATCAATGAACTCGATGGCCGTGCTGGAGCCCACCTTCACATCCTGCAGCAAGAGCGACAGCATCACTAGGTCCTGCAGGCACCCGCTGCAGCTGTGCACGTGCCCAGACTCTGAAGAACAGAAAAGGCATCTCCTGGAGACCCAAATGTCCCGCCACAACACGATGAGGCTGCGACTAAAGCCAGGCTGGAAAGTAACGGGAGACAGAGGAATCTGCAGCAGAAACAACCCGGTCCTAATGAGCCTTTGTCACCTGGGAGGCAGCTGCTGTGTCCAGCAACAGTTGTAGGCTCTGAAATATTGTCCAGACCTCACAAAGTAGGAATGACTAAACGGAGAACAGCAAAGCCAAAGAGGCCACGCTCCTATCTAGGAGGAAAGCACAGAGGTTCATGGTAGACTGGAGACGGGCATCTCTCTTGGAGACTTTTCAAGCACAGGAACAGCTGAATCTAATACAGCCTCACGCTGCTTTGATGAACTGTGGTCTACCAGGAGGGACTTCCTCCCCTCTCATACTTTCCCAAACCCCAGCACTGGCCACACTAAATAGCTTTATTAGTGAGTACTTTACTGCTTGCATATAGGAAACCCACAAACTTCCTGTTATAGGAACGAACAAACTTGTTAACAGGATTGCAGGATGCGCAGCACTAGCTCAGATTCCTATCTCTAACACCAACTGCTGTCAGGAGATGAGTGAGAACGTTGATTTCAGAGAACACCTGCAGAGACACCTGAGATGTTTTCCCATCTCCCACAACAATTTCTGTGACTGTTCTGCATCCTGAGGAGCCTCTTCCACATGCTGGCTGCATGGCCATGACTTCTTATGTGTTTAGTGAATGCACATGAAGCGTAGACATGAGTGATGCACAGCCTAGGGAAACAAGAGAGCCTGGACCCTTAGGGGCTGCTCCCGTTCCCACAGAGATGCTCAGCAGTGATTCAGCAGGTCATCTCCCTAACATGTAGAATGAAAAATATTGATAGCGCGGTCAGAATAACAACCTAAAGAAGGAGATTAAGCAGCTGGCAATTAACATTTCAGCTGAGATGACATCTGAAGTCTAAGCTAATCAGAGTGGATAATTAGCCAGCACTTTGAGGCTTTTCCTGCTACCTGATGCTGCCCGCGCCCTGGCACGGCTCCAACACGGCAGCGGTGACATCACGGGGTGAAGTGCTCACGACACCTGAATACTTGGTCACCAGAGACTCCGTTTGCCTTCTCGTACTGACAACTTCCTGGTAGAGCAAGGCTTTTCCTGACCAAATTCCTAAAGGTCTCCTAGTAAAGAAGCTTTCTTTACCCTGCTCCGTGCTTGTCTGTCCTTGGCTGCTCGGAGCGCTGCGGGAGCAGCTTCACACAGGCAGAGCCCCTTACGGAGTGTTTGCCCGGGGCACATCCACCCTTCCAGCGCCCTGCCCGCCGCAGCAGCCGCTTCCACCCCGCACGGTTCGGGGTTTTCCCCCCGCACAAGCCGTTTCATCTGCTTTGCGGGCGCTCGAGCAGAGAGGCGCCTGCAGACGAGGCCGGGTTTCGACTCGCTGAAACCTTTGAAGCGGAGGGAGCGTCGCCCGCGCCGGGGAGCCCTTGGAAGGGGGAGGCTGCAGCCGGGGCTGTCTGGTGGCAGCGGGGCCACGCAGGGGCTGGGGACCCTGGGGACACGCCGGCCCTCACCTGATGACCACGCACTGGCTCTGCGCGGCGGCGTGGCGGCCCAGCATGGCGTGGTAGGCCCGGTCGGCGACGGCGAAGATGTGGGGCGGCAGCGTGCCCCGCTCGTGCTGCCGGTAGCGCTCCGAGACCTGCGGCGACAGAGCGGGGCAGCGCGGGGCCGGCGCGCGGGGGGACCCGCGGCGGCGCGGCCGCTCACTGACCTCCCGGCCGTAGAGCGGCAGGCGCTGGAAGGGGTTCATGGCGATGAGGATGTCGCCCACGTCGGTCTGGCGGCCGAGGGGGAGGAAGCACGAGGTGAGCGCCGGCCGGCCCCGGTCCCAGCCCCGGCCCCGATTCCAGCCCCGGTGCCGGTCTCGGTCCCGCACTCACGTAGACCTGCTGCCGCAGGAACCGCTCCCGCAGCCCCGCCAGCAGCGCCGCCTCGTCCAGCTCCGCCAGCGCCGCCAGGTCCCCGGCGGCCCCGTCCCGCGGCTCCCCCGGCGACACCATCCCGCGCCCGGCGCGTCCCGGCCCGCGCCCGGCCCGTCCCGGCCCCGC